TTGTTAAAATTTTGATTCAATTGACATAAACCTAAAGTTGTTTTTTTTTAACGCTGAATATCAATTTTATTAAACCAAACGAAAAACAAAACTTCATGTACAAGACTATGAAAAATCCCAACCATCATTATCCTAATATCATATCTTGATCATCATATGCTCTTATGTCTATTAGCAAAATCTTCATCCATAAGAGCATGAAGCCACAAAAGTCTTTCATAACCAACGCTTTCGGTGCACTGGTTGTCAGATGGGAACAAACACAATGCTCCAAGCTTCCGATATAATTTCTCTTTTAGGGTTGGTAATCTTTACTATGTAGAACAATATCGAAAAATTAGTTTAACATTGTAAATTGAATTTTTACATGCAACACAAAATTAATTATTTACTTCGAATAACAAACACATAATTTCAATATATTATACATTTAACATTCGATAAAATATAATTGAACAATCCAAGCTAATCAATATTTAATATTACTTATAAGACCAATATTACATAATATAACTTATCTAGATGATAATAAACATGTAATTATATACTCTCTGGCAACGTTTTTCTTCGTTATCAACACAATAAAAAACATGTCGGATAATTTCTGAAATTGGGTTATTCTGTTGAATCCAACTTGTTTCGGTTCTGAATTATGTCTCTCAAAACGTTTGATCTTCTTCTCGGTCATTTTCTGCTTCATATTGAGCTTAGCATTTTCTTCAAAACTTTAACGTGGGCGTAAATTGCTTTGTGTGGGAATAATAAATTTGAAAACCTTGATATAATTTTTATTTAGAAATGAAATTTGATTTCTAATCTTTTTTTTTTCAATTAATGGATACTAACCTCGAATATTTGAACCTAAAATCCTCACAAATGTGTATAAAATATTTGAAACAATTTTTGTATTTTTAACAAATATTGGAAACAATATAGGAAACCCTCACCAGTTTTTATTTTTAACAATTTTTTATTGAAAAACAACATCATGCAGATTCTCATTTGGAGTATCTTAAAATCAGATTTTGAGAGAGGTGTTGTTTTCCATTACCTTGGCGTAAAACTGGAAATCCGCATGACTACTATCAAGAGCAAATGCAACAGCTTTGAGAAGGGCTGACTCATTGTTTGGAGGTACAAAAGCATATCGACGAATAGTTACTTTCTCACCTTTTGCTTTTGAAGGATGGCATGTTCTTCTTAATATAATGGAGTGCCACTACAGTCGAGTAGTTCTTGTTCGGACAAGGATACCAATTTTTTCGTCCTGATGTGGTTAATTCCCTCAACAGATGCCACCGTAGCAAAAGCCCAGCAACAATGGTTAGCTAAACTTTTTTCCCTCTTTAGTCCTATCGTAAATTAAATGAAAAATAGTGGTGTGATAGCAATAGTGGTTAGCTAAACTTTTGTCGTTCTTTAATCCATACAAAAAAACTAATTTTTTTGTACCAAGCAAACTA